CCAAGAAGGGGACACAGGAATACCCGGGTACCGTTTTCGGTAACAAAGGTAGCCAAAGGGAGCCAGAGCGACAGGGCATCTGAAATCCGCTCTTAAGCTGCTTGGGGGATTTGCAATAACAGATGGCCAAACAGAGTTGATATATTGGCAAATGCTTTCACAATGAGGAAACAGCATTCTCGTTGGCAATTAGCGAAACGGGGCCACGAAATGACTAAAATTAAGACTCCTTAAGAATATTGAATCGAAATACCGGATGCATTTTTGAAATATATATAACCAACAGGTTTCTCAATTATACTTTGGCTTAAGAGAAACTTTATTAAGAAGCTCTTTGTTGAATTTAGCAAAGTAAGCAAGCTTGTTCTCCGACCTTTTTTTCGCACGATAATGATCTGATTTATAACGAGCTTTAAAATGCTTCTTAAGTTAATCAAGTCAATTGTAATTATAACTTAAAACTCTTGGAAATTTCATTTCATTTCATTTAAATCCAATTTTTTGAAATTCTTCTTACTGGGAAAATGAAACTGTATGTAACTAAAACTAATCTCATTGGACCTTCCATTACTGGTCACATTCATTATTGCCAACAAATGTATAAAATTAACAAAACCAATGAGACAAAAATTCTGAAATTGCCCAAGTACTTTGGCCCGTTTTATATTCATAAGCAATTAAGAATGATATAGTTTTAAGAACATTATGTTTAATGATTATTTCCACTCTATAAAAGCCAAACGACTGTCCTTACTAATTAATAACTATAAAATTTGAAATTGGAAAAGCTGTGACAGAAATTGCTCAACCATCGGACACAGGCTCATTAGCCTCCATTCCAATTAATGGATTCTGCATTGGAAAATAGACTGCCATCAATTAAAGCAACCCAAGCGAATCTGCAGACCATATTTCGTAGATGTCCCAACTCTCTCAATTCAGACTCACTCAACTCGACTTACATACACATATGTGTACATTTGTCTATGTATGTGTCAGGTCTTGGGGTCTGTCTGCCAATTTCCCAGTCAGTCAAACACAAAGGCATTGCGCCTTGAAGCCAATTGCCGCAGTCGTCTCATTTGCCGTTTGTCCATTATAAAACAATGCGATTAAGATTCAATTTTCCATTTGCAATTTGCCATTTTCAATATTGGCATTGATTGCATGCGTTTTAATTGAAGTTTTGCGTTTAAATTATGTGACAGCCAATGGCCAATGAAAAAATATAAACAAACAATCGCCACGAGAAACGATCTGCAATGCAAACTCAACCACATGCCACCACCACCAGCACCACCACCACCACCACAAATCGGTAGCTCGTCCAGCGTTTTATAAATAAAGTGCAACGCGCTGAGGCGGATGGTGCAAGTGGGAAGGAGGACTGATGGGGCGGCTGATATCAGCTGCATTTATGTTTTGGCAATAAAATGCAAATGGTAAAAAGTCCATAAAAATAAGAAAGAAAGAGAGCCAGCTTCTCGGTTCACAGCCAGTTCATATGCTTATGCTACTTAAAAAAGATTTTATGTGCCTGCGTCGATTTCAATTTCGAACTACTTTCAAATCGCTTTCTGATGTTGCTGCTGCTTATGTTGCCGTTGCCGTTGCTGTTGCTGCTACTGATGCTGCTGCTGCTGCTGCTGCACATTTGCTATGCTCTTTGGCTGCTGTTGTTGCTACTATTGCGACTTAAACTGTAAGTCCATAAAATGCTTCTGCCACAGCACAAAGGGATTTTTCTCTCCACATATACATTTGTGTGTTGAATATTTTACGTTTCTGAAAATTTGATGAATCTGTACAAATGCGTAGCACTGAAGCCAACGGCAACTATAGCTAAATGAAGTAAATTAAAGCTCTGCTGCTTAACTTTAAGATACCCTGTGATAAATACACTTTCGCTCTACACATAAACGAAATTGTTGAACAAATATTGAGTATCTTAATATTATACTACAAACGTAAATAGCTGAATAACAAAATTGGTCAACACCAAAAATTTCAGATCTTGAGTTGTCGAAATAGTTCTTCGATTATTCACAAGATGATTCACAATGTTTTTATGTGTACAGGGTATAAGAGCAACAGCTAAGTAGTACAACTTCAATGCCGTTGTCGTCAGTCAGTCAGCACACGAGGAAAATATCCATCAACACTTTTGTTTTATAGTCGCTCGCCGTGTCTATCTCTCTCTCTATCTCTCTCTCTCTCTCTCTTTCTGTCTCTCTCTGTTTCTCTCTCTCTGGCTGCTCTGATGTTTGCTGGCACACATCCGTCGGTCTGTCTGTCTGCCTATCAATTTGTTGTTTGGCCTGCCAAGCAGCAACAACAATAACATCAACAACCAGAACAGCAGCAGCAACTCTTTACAGTTTGTTTAGCTCCGTGGCCGTTTTAATAGCTTTCAACTACTTTGTATCTCAAAGATACAAATTGCTGGCAGCTAAATTTGTGAAATTAAAGTGCACACAAATCCAGAGACTCAGTGCGCTCTGTCTCTGTCTCTGTCTCCGTCTCCGTCTCTGTCTCTGTGTCCTATCTTTGTATGTATCTCTATCTGTTCGGCAGCCACGCCCACCTGCATAGCTAATTGTATTTCATTTCGCATGTAAACGTTTTGTCAAAAGGATTAAATGACACGCCCCCCACCCGCACACACGCACACACTCACACACACTTACAGTCACACAGAGAAATAGTCTGCCTCCAAACTGAAGCTGAGCTCGTAATTCCACATGTTCCATGCTATAAGGCGACACACATTAACCAGCCTGAAGTGGGTAACATGAGCATAACAAGGGGCAGGGGAGTATGGAGTGTTGAGCGGGTAGCTTCTCATGTGTGGGCTTTGACTAATGCGCTTTCCATTGCACTTGCAGCAGCAACAACAACATTGGGTAAGCTTACACAACGACTTACACGAGCTTTAAGCTGTAATTGAAGACTGTCTCTTGTTGTTTTTGTTGTTGTCACTTAGCAATTGTTGTTGTTGCGTCAAATTTTTGTGGGTTTGATACAATAGATAAATATACATAAGTCCACTGATTAAGACAATGGCAATCACATTTGTTTTGGAAAGTTCGAATATCTACTTATAACATTGAAACAAGACGTTTTTTCTATCGAGATTCTATGATGTTATTATATTGGTGGCGTCATAGATATTTATTTGGGGCAAAGCAGTAATAAAATTACGAAAGTTTGTGTAGAATTTACCATCAATAATTTAACATTAAAAGACTTAGATCTAGATTACTATTGAGGTCAAACTATGATTAAAACGGCCTTGCTTTATAAAATCGTTTCACTCTTGACAAAATTGTGGCATTCAAAAATATTGAACCGAATCTAGATGCGATTTCGAATTGGGTTGAGAACTCAAACTCAAATTTTAAGATGTTTAAATAGGTATTCGCTAAAGTATACAATAAATGTGTAGAGCTCAACTGTAGAAGTAATATATTTTAGAATAATATTTATTTCCCTCTCAAAAATTTCTTAAAATATCTAACTTCTATTATTCAACAACATACTCTGATCTAATCTAATATTTGACTTAAGTAAAATAAAATAATCTTGAGTCTCACGTCCACTTCGATAGCTATTAAATGTTTTTTTCACGCCGAACCGAACTTTTGCTTATTGGAAAAGTTTCCATGCAGTTTTCATCTCTCAGCTGAAGCAATTCAATTGGCCAGTACGAATGATAATTTAATCAAATCGAAAACTACGTCAAATATCAAAATAACTCTGCGGGAGATAAATAGATAAAAATTCGCTCAGGCACAAGATCTACACAAAAAAATATACCGCATGGTGCGAAGTCGGACAAGTTGTAAACAATTGAAGCACTTGATTAATTAATTAATTGCGAAAATCTGGCAAATTAATTTCGCATTAGAAACCGCTTGCGCTATTTTTCCCACACGCAAGAAAACAGAAAAATTACACGTACAACAACCAAATTATGAACAGGCAAAAGTTTCAATCAAAATGGGCAGCAGAGGGTATGCTTGGAATGGCAGACAGATGGAGAGGGAGGGCGGATGATGGTTATGGGCCGAGGCTAGAGGTAAACTGAGGCAATGAGCGCTGGCGCGTTGGCGATGTGTGCCCCGAAGCGGCGATGTAGACGGAAATAGCCAAGAAATGCTGAGATCGTTACTCATACGCCAATTTACTGTGCACTTAAGTTTTATGAGAATTTAAGATTTCCTGCAAATCAGTCAGAGAGTGAGAGTGAGACAGCGCGATAACGTTACACGTTGCCCAAAGCTGGACAGGAAGCGTGGCGGCATTGTAAAAAATCAAAATACAAACTTCGTAAATAAAAGAATCACATAAAAAGTAATCAAAGCTCTGTCGAAATTTTCGGTGTTTCTCAGAAATTGCATATTGGGTCAACTGATAAGCGAAAAGTGTACATTTCTGGGCGTGGCTCCCAGGAAATCACTCGTTACATGCAACGGGTTAATGGGTGGGTGCTTGTGTTTTGGCTTATCAGCTGGGAAAATTCGTTTTAATTCTCCTACAATTGCCTAACAGTCTTATGAGAACAGCTATTTAAAAGTGTCGCAAGTTACAAATTTTGTTAAAATATATTTGTCATTTTAAATAATAACGCTGACGTTGTTTGGGCGACAAAAAGCTCACTGCGCTGCAAAAAATATATTTCAATAACGATGGTGGATTGTATACTTGCTAAGCAATGACACAGACCAAGCAAATATTCACTTAACGAAAATCTTTTTACAAATTCTCGCTTATAGCATAGACTTAAACCCTGAGTCGTTAAATGAAAATTGAAAATTTTAATAAAAAAAACTTAAGGCAATTAACGTAAAATACAATTTAATAATGATTAAAATAAATTGAAATTAAAAGTATAGTTAATACATAAAAATAAACATATTTTTCAACAATTTCAAATAACTTTTGATAGATAAATTAAGTGGAATTTAGTACTCTTATATAACTTTTTGTCGCATTTACAGCGAACACTTCATTTCGGAGCACACAGTCATGGCCGTTTTCACATCGCAGGGTCAGGTGGGTGGTCCGTGCCGTTATATGCCCGCCACACGACGGCAGAATCACCAGTGCCGCAAGGAGACCGGTTTGCCGGGTACGCTGAGCGAGGCGCGACGTTTGGCCACCACCCATTGCGAGGATCAGTTTCGCTATGATCGCTGGAACTGTTCAATTGAGACGCGTGGCAAGCGCAACATATTCAAGAAGCTCTACAAGGAGACGGCATTTGTGCATGCCCTCACGGCGGCAGCGATGACGCACTCAATAGCCAGGGCCTGCGCCGAGGGGCGGATGACCAAGTGCAGCTGCGGACCGCGCAAACAGAACCGGGTGGATCAGGACTTTCAGTGGGGTGGCTGCAACGATAATCTGAAGCATGGCAAGCGGGTAACGCGCAGCTTCCTGGATTTGCGCGGCGGCGATGGGGACGAGGTCACCGAAATATTGCGACACGACTCTGAGGTAGATTCACACATCTAAAAACGAATTCCAACAGTTTGCAGATCTAAATCTGATTTATTGTATCTTTCCCTAGGTTGGCATTGAGGCCGTCTCCACGCTGATGAAGGACAAGTGCAAGTGCCACGGAGTCTCTGGCTCCTGTTCAATGAAGACCTGCTGGAAGAAAATGGCTGACTTCAATGCCACGGCCACTCTGCTACGCCAGAAATATAACCAGGCCATTCGCAAGGCCCCCAATCAGCGGACCATGCGCCAAGCACCGGCGAGTCGTATGAAAAAACCAAAACAGCGACGCAAGAAAGTAAGTTTTTCCCCAACTTAAAGCGTTCTCAACTAACTAACAACAGTAATAATCATTTTCAAAAATGTAGATTTTAACTTTAAGTCTGAAAATGTATCAATGTATTTACTTGTTTAAATTGTATACAAAAGTTTAGACTATCTTGAAGATATTCTGATAATCGAAAAAAAGATAAAGAATAGTAACTTTAGCTGTTGCTTTGTTTGTATTATTTTTTTAAGCAACATACTGTTTTCTGCATTAAATATATTACATAATAGTTAACTTGCTTTGACACAAAACTAACATAGCAATATTTCTTTGATTTCAAGCAGCAACAACAATCGCAGTACACAACGTTGTATTATTTGGAGACCTCGCCCACCTACTGCTCGGTCACCAAGGATCGCCAGTGTCTGCATCCCGACAATTGTGCGAATCTATGCTGTGGGCGTGGCTACACCACGCGGGTCTTCAAACAGGTGGAGAAGTGTCGATGCCGATTCAACAATGGACGTTGCTGTCAGCTGATCTGTGACTATTGTCAGCGCTATGAGGACAAATATTTTTGTAAATAAGTAGGCGGGCCACACCAGTTTCCATCACAATCTATCTATCTATCTGTCTGTCTGCTCCCACACTTCCTCTCTATCCCTATCTAAATATATACATAACTATATAACTCGCTCTCACACACAGCATACACACAGAACGCTCTCTTTGTACTTTTTAAATGTAATTTGTAAAGTTTATTGCTTGTATTTTTTCCATTCCTAACTTATAAAACAAAACTTTGATGAAATGATAAGCAAGACGAAAATAATGTGGCAAACGATAGAAACGCTCAGAACGAAGGCTAATAATACTAAAGGCCAATAAAATCACAGAAATACAAACAAACCCACACACACACACACACACGCACATAATCACATGCATACACACATACATACACCTACATCTATATCATAGATAATACCATATACATATATATAATAACAGTTAGCTGCCGTCGCATACAGAAAAAAATCTCAACAAAAAAATGGCAAAAACTTCATTTAGCAAAAAAAAAAAAAAACTCACTCACATACGAACATCTGCAAAAGGCAGACGCTAATAACAACAACATACCGCAACAAAAACAATTTTAATAAGTATTTAAACATAAAACGAACCAAAAAAAAAAAAAAATACAAAACAAAACAAACAAACGTAAAAAAAAACAAACACATGAAAATGAAATGAAATAAAAAGTTTCACTGAAATCGCAAAGTATCTGATTTGGGTCTCCGGGAACTTGAACCTTCGATGAGCTATATTTCATATTCAAATAGCAATTTGACACTTCGATTGACCAAATCACAGTGGTTATCATAGGGAATAAAGCGGAGTTTATGCATTCAAAGACAAAAACATATTTATTTATATCTTGTCAACTTTATTTCACACAATCACGTTGCGAATTGTCTACTCACGATAATACTTGACATACATATATACAAAATATGTATGAATGTACGGCATACCTAGCAACAGCAGCAATTTTATCTTAAGATGCTGAGTTGGAGTCTGCATATAAATTTGAGAGCTACCTTGCTCAGAATACAAAGGCCATGCAAATTAATTCTTAGAAAAAAAGTGAATTAAAGAACTTTTTAATATCTCAGCTTTAAATACAATTAATTTAAGCACAGTAGATTTATTTATTTTTCAATAGGTAAGTCAGCAGTCATATGATATTAACCATAGTCATATTGTTATCATCTAACATAATCGACATTTTCAAGAATGTTTAGTATTCAGCATTAAAAAACCAACCTAAGATTAGTGTACAATGTTTCCGACCAATCATAACAATTCCCTAAATCTAAATGAAATATTTTGAACGTGATCATACCAACAGAATTTGTTAGAATTCAATCAATTTCTGCAGCATATCAAATAATGCAATGGAGGAGCTCAGTAAATCTAAAGTCTCTATTTGGTGTTGATAGACGAATTCTGTGGATTGCGCTTCTTAATTATGGAATAGATTTTTTAGATTGCTTTTTTTTATATATAAAAAATCACATGTCAACCAATTGAAGTCGGACATTTGTGGTATTCTAAAGAAGAACGAGTTGTTGTATAAAAACAGCATTAAATAACCCTTTGAAAAGTTTGCACACATATCCGATTAGCATTGGTTGTCAACCTGTGAAAATGATAATTCACTCTTGTTTTTATTGATCCTGTGTGCGTACATGGTGTACGATATCAGGCGCACATATGTATATACAGCGGACAAGTTGTTTGTTTTCCTGTTAGACAAGCAGCACTGTGGCACGCATTTCTGAGTTAAGCCATCAGTCTCGCCACCCAGAGAAACGCCCACCTTGACATTGACACGGATATGCTTTGTCAACATTGCTGAGCGCTTTGCGTGCTAAACTGTTTCTTGCATGTAGAAAGCATTGCTTGGAAGACAACGACAACAAGCTGTGGAACAATTGGTGAGAAAAACATTCATCATTATATGGTGCCATTGTATCCTCAACTGTCGCCGAGTTTATTTAATATTGAATTCAAATGTAATCTTGTTCTGTCAACATGTGGTTCTTACTCATATGTTTTTGAAAATTGTTGCCAAGAGCAAATCAAATTGTTATCACTTTGTCAATTGGAATCATGAATAAATAAAACGCCCTTGGCATGAAATGTGTTGAAATGTCCTTAAATTATATTGAGTGCTTGGGTTCTCTTAGCTGCATTTATTATAAATCTTACATTTTAGAATAAATCACTTTTATTAGTTAATTGCGCTAAAAATGTAATTTGTTTTTTATTTCATTTTATGTTAGCTACTTTTGTTTACTGATGTTATAAAACGCTTATCTCATTTGAGTTCAAGCCACGTTAGGAACGCATTAGTTTAACGCATTTCCCCACTGACACATTGACAGCCCAGCGTGTGGCACGAGCAACAACAACAATCCCAATGGGATAGAAACATTTAACACCCATGTTATGCAAAATAATGTGCAGAAAATTAGAAATGCAGATAGCCTGATAATTAAACTTTGGAAAAAGAATGTGTTAAATCTTGGAATACACAGGTTTTTTCCATAAAGTGTGTTGCAATTATCAGCACAAGTTAATATATAGCTTTTGTAGATAAGATAGGCAGACTTAAATAATGTTTAGCATAGTAAGGATTGATTTAGAGCAGCTCTTTTTTTGGACATATTCGTTAGCTTTTCAGTTCACCATGTTTCATATGAATATTAATTATATTTAATTAATTACTGACTAATGCAACTTGATCATAGGAAAGTCCTGACTCGCATTTATTAGTTTTAATATTTATTATTAATAGGCTGCAATTAAAACTCAATTTGGCAAATATATATTTTAGCTAGCATGATAAGCGAATATTCAACTGTTGAAGTTGAACATAATGCGACAAATTAAATTGGAAACCACAAAAACAAGCAGTCAGCATTATCTTGCTTCTGTTGTTGTTGCTGTTGTTAATGTATTCATCTATGTGAAACCTCAAGCAGTTTGACGGTATTAATTACTTGGTCAACAGAGTACCCACATTACAAAAAAACATTTGTGTGTTTAGATACCCCTATAGACACCTTACCCTTGACACCACATGTCCCACCCATGTCGACTAACTACTTAAAAAGTGATTAACGAAAAGCTGAGAAAAGCCGAAAAACATGTAACATCAAATGCTAACAAGAAAGAAAAAGAAGCGTTGAAATAAAACAAAATGCAAATGCAGGTCGAATAAAACAAAACAGCAGCAGCAAAAAGTGCATGACAAAATAAACAAGCGCAAAGAAAAATCAGCAAACTCAGCAGTCACGTAGCGAACGAAAGCGAAGAACAAGCAGACGGACGGTGTTTTGGGTCGGCGACGTTCTAATGAGAAAGCTGAACAGAAACTATGATTTTTGGGCAATCGAAGTGAGTGAGTGTTGGGGCGGGGGGTGTGCATCTCAATTGCCAGAAAGTGAGAGCGCAGCGTGCGAGCTGCATTCGAGCGTCATTCGGTATCTGGCAGATACGTGTGCGGTCGAGCATTTGAGACGCCGCCGACGCCAATCGTTGCCATACAAAACAAAAGCCAAACGCTGACTGAGCTGTGGCAACATTTCCATGGAAACTGCCAAACTGCCAACAAGTCTATCGATGCTGCTGCTGCTGCTACTCTGGGCACTGCTCTGTGGCGCGACAATTGGGTAAGTAAAGAATTATATATAAATAAATTAATTAAATAAAAACAATTAAATTGATCGAAGTTCGGCGCTGCCCAAAAGCGAACTGCAAATGCTGGAGATGATGCAGAATATTTTGGGTGTGGATAATGGTGATTTGGGTGGCCGCAGCCAGCGATCGAGTCCCATAATGTTTGCCTCCTCCGTGCCCTGTGACGATAGCTTGGCGGAGGACAGCAGCGACAAATTGAGTCTATTCGACGATGATCTCGACGAGAGTGAAGAGTGTGGCGACTATGGCCGACCCTGTGAGCCGGCACCACCCAACGACACACTTGAACCCTGTTCCCGTCCAATGCTGCCCATGCAGCATCCCTGTTTTGTGCGTGTCATATTACTGCGCACCCCACTGACGCGACACGATCCTTGCACAAACTTCACGCTAGGAATGCAGCAGCCTACAACAACGGCAATGACAACAACCACAACCACAAGCCCAAGCACAAGCACCACTACCACTTCGAAGCCGAAGCCGAAGCCGAAGCGTAAAAAGTGCAAGTCAAAGCAGCGAAAAGCTGCACCAAGTCCTGCAGCCAAAGACCTGAACAACAAGAACAGCACCACAACAAGCCAAGCAACGACAACCACTGAAGTCGAGACAACCCCAACAATAACAACAACGCCTCGAGTTGAAAACAGTACAACAGAGAGCACCACTACTAGCACCACCACCACAACAACAACCAGCACCACAACACCAACGACCACAACAACTGAAGAAGAGTTGTCAACCACAGTGGAGATGAGCACCTTGCCACCTACGACAACAATAATAACCACAACGGCGCCAAGTAGCACCACTCTGGGCTACGCAATGCACAACCATCTGAAGTCGCTGCGAAGTAGGCGGCGCAAGAAGTTACGTGATAAACTGGCAAGGGTACCAGATAAGCCCCAGATTAAAGTGGATGGCGCCATGCAACCCAGTGATACTTTTCCGGTGTTTCTAAGCAAAGAAACGGCCGAGTTGCGATCGCGTCCAATGTCCACCACATTAGCGCCGGAAATTGAAACAACAACTGGCTGCATTGAAGCTTCAGCTGATGAGGAAACGGCAGCGGAAACCGATGAGAGCAAAACAAATGAAGACCAAGAAGACGGCAAAGAAAGTGAAGGTATGTGGCGCCACTAAGGTCAGATAGTCATAATTTATGCAACGCAGAAAACATACTGAACAAGACGTAAAAAATTGTATTTAGCTTGTCTTATGGTTAACTCTTTGTTTATCGATTTTCAAAGTACAAAATTAATGAATTCCTAATACCACAGCAAGCGAAGACTGTGAGGATGCCGAGGATCAGGACACAAATATATGTCCACAGTTTTCAGCGCCTGAGGAGGCGGGTAAGGCAAAAATAAAAAATAAAATAAAAGAAAAACTATCAAACCTCTTCCATTTTGACAGCCAACATGAGACTTATGCCGTCGTCAGGTCGTTATCGCAAGCCCGTCAAGAACTATGTAGAGCCCATTCTATATGAGGGTCAGTTTGCCAAGCCACGTCAACGGATTGGCATGATGCCACAGCGACGAGATTATTACGTGAGCAACAAACAGATCATGCCCCGTCCTAGACCCAAGTTCAGGGAGCCTGTGCCCCACTCGATCTACATGAACAACATTGTGCGGGGCCTGAAGTGCAGCGATGAAGCTGGCAATCCAGTCACCCTTCCGATGCAGCCACGACGCTTCCGGACAGGCAGACGACATGGACCTAGCTATCCCCAAATGGTCCCGAAATCTTCACCGCAATCAAATTCCCGGGGTCGTCCTAATCCTCTGTATGGACTAAGCTCTGCTGAGGATCCGGATGCTTATGGCAACGACAGCGATCAGTATTATGATGATGAGACACCGGAAAGACTTGCCTGGCCACGTGACCATCCCCTGCATCCATCCTCGCCCACTGTAGATCCGTGTCAGGTGGAGCTAAGTAGTCGGGAAAGGGTGAGAGATAGGAAAATGCTAAGGCAAAGGGAGCGAGAACGAGAAGGTGATAGGGAGAGAGAGAGGAGGGAGAACAGCGAGCATCTTCTGAACTATCCACAACGTCTATCGCCGCGTTTCTTTACCTAGCCCAACAATTAGCATAAGCCACTGGCACTATTAAGCACACAGTAGCACAATAAACCATTACACCCCCCAATAACTTAATGGCTACCATTTGATTGGCACAAAAAAACACGGCAAAAAGCGCAAAGCGGTTTGGGCACGCAGCCACAAATAGGTTCAGCAGTAATTGGAAGCAACCCTCTCCGCGGGTCGTCTACGTCAACAGCGCCAATTCAATTGCTTAATAAGAGCGGAGGTTGCCAATCCACTTGTCAGTCAATGAGCCGCAAGCACGCGCCCGTAATGACCAGACGAGGTGAAATGGCACTGAGGGGCCGTCACCTGATTGCATTGATATACAAAGCGACTCACAAAACACTTTTAGGGAATGCCAAAGAAAATCCGTAGCCAAATGATATGGTCAGGGCTGTGATTGATAAGAAAATTTATTGACAGCAGCAAACCAGGTTGATGTACTTACTTTCACACGCACACGTCTCATGATGCAAACAGAAACCCAAGCTCTCAGTGCACGGGTGTAGTTGTGGGGCAACTTTAAAATAGCACCAAATAGTAATAAATTGTACTATATTTATATTTACCAAGCGTTCATTGATCAGCACACTATACAATTATCTTTTTGGTAAATATTTAACAGCAAAATATTTAACTCCACAAATACAAGGGACAGTAAGTAAATATGTACAAAGTACAAATATTAATTGAACTCAAGCAAATCAGATTTTTTATTACCAATGTTATTTATATAATTTGCGAGTATGTATGTACTTAGTCATCAATAGTTTTATCAAAGTTTTCATTTTATTTAGCATTGATATCTTTGGATGACAGCTCATTATGCTTATCATCAACTGCCCTTCCGACTGCTTATGTCGTATACCCTGTAGTTTGTGGTGTAGCGCACCTCTTGACGACACATGACTGTTAAATCGGGCAACAAAATATTCATACTTAACAAAGAACTACAAAAATCAAAAGAGCGAGCCCCAAAGGAGTCGCCGCCCCAAAGACGTACAAAATGAAAACAATTTCTAGACGTCTACCTGGCCCTTCTCAGCCCTTACTCTTTCACACACGCACGTTCGCGCTCGAACTTGGATTACAACTCTGACAACAAACTTTCTCACACTCTCTGACTCATGGTCTCTCTCTCTCACTCTCTCTCTCTCTTTGTCAATTACTCTCTGTGACATTGTAAATGTCACAGGACGCCGAGTAGGTGATGCGGCGGCGCACGAGACCGTTTCAGAGAGCGAAACAGAAAGGGAGAACGCCAAGTGGGAGAGCGTTTTGGCAAGCCGAGTCTATTGTCTATTTGGCAATATGTGTACTGATTTTTAGGTTCTCCTGGCTCGTTGCACAGTGCGGACGTGTTTTTTTCAATTCGAACGGAAAGCTGCACGAAACCGAAACCAGAAAGCCAAGAAAATTGCAAGAAAAAACCGTTTTGCAAAAACAACAAATACAGCTAAAATCGAAAACAATTAAAACAAGCCAATTAAACAATAATCTTTTTTAGTCAAATTTATTGTTACAATTTTGTGAATAAACTTTACCTGCTTGTGTGTGTGTGTATTTAGTGTGTGAATGTGTGTGTGTACCTAATATTAAACCGAGTCCAAGTCCCGTACCCTATAACAAAGTGCATTTAAATCTCTAAAGTAGTAGCGAAAAAAAATCTATTAACCAAATATATAGAGTCATAATAAATATTTAATACCAATACAATATTTTATGTTAATGTTTATGAGCCAAGAAACCTGGCAGAGCAAATTAAAGGGAGTGAACCGACAGCCGACAGTGAATAGCCAATGCCAAAATCGATAAATTATTAAAAATAAAATCCCAACACCTTCAAAATAAGCCAACAATACCACTGACAACCACAAACGCCAATGTAGTCATTGCTGTAATTGAATAACAAATAAATTCGCGTAATTAAAAAAGCAAACACTGCCACAAAGAGAGCTATACATTTAGCTCGGCTACAATCAAATAAAACCACCGTTTCAAATCCAAATAAATGAAAAATACCAAATGAGCAGCATTTAAAGGAAGAACAAAATAAGCATCTACCATCTAACTGGGTCAGTAAGCAGCAGCAGCAGCAGCAGCTACTGTTGCCAACTTTTACGCCCTATCCAACCCTACAGCCAGGGCTTCCTGGCATATACGGTAAGTTACTTTCAGTCATGAGCAAAAGAAGCAAACAGCAGTCAAACTTTTCACTTTTACTTGACACATTTTTATATACCCTCTACACATTATAAATTGATCAATGTGATTATGATTATTTGTAAAAATATTATGTTATAAAGAGCTCAAAGTACCCGAATCCATTATAGCTTGATAAAGCAAGCTTAATAAATAATAAATAAATCTCGTATGTCGTTTATTTTTAGCTTCTCCTAAAGCCATCAAAGCTCATATGATATATTTATAGCCCCAACTCTTTTGGGTACTCATAGCTTTCCTAATCTCCCTTCTGTGTCCTGCAAGTCTTAAAAAGAGCTGCTTGTTATCACAGCATATATTTAATGCGAAATTAATCAATGCTGTGATTACTTTGGGTCTGCCTGCACAGGGTATTTTATGGTCAATCACTCTAAAATCGAGCAATGTAGTTTGTTATTGTTTCTGATTGTGCTTTTTGCACTTCTTAGTCGGTTAATGGTGGCGTCAAGCACAGAACAAGCTTAACATTTTGATTAATTTGATAAAAAAAAAGCAAACAAATAAATTGTGTAGTTACTCATTCAATAGTGTCTGTGTAATATGAGTCGGTCAGAAAAGTAATTTAATGTGACTGTCGACAAAGTATACAAATTCATGGAATACGTTCCATTTTAACAGGGCTCCAATGTGGCCACATGTTATGCTGTGGCTTAGAGTAAACAGCAGCTGACAGATTTCTTTTGATTAAACTGACTTATGATATACATTCCTGTACAGACGTAAAATAAGGGGTAAATTAGATAGTAGATTGCTTTCAGCAAAAATTTATATGCGTCTACAAAATACATATGCTTAGTTTCTGTTTGCATTTGTATTATTTAGTATATTCAAGAATAACTTTTATAGCTAACTTTCCTATTGCAAACCTTTACTTTGAACTGATAAGAGGCAATATATCCAACCATACACGGGGTATTTTAACCTGCCTCAGTCTCAGTTCATGTCACCCATTCAGTAAATAACCTTGTAAAGCGGGTCAGGGGGTCAGCATTGTTTTTATGCCCTCAAGTGCTTTTTTGTCACTTACTTGCAATTCAGTTGTTGGCGCCACTGCCAACTGAAGATGGTGAATTTTAATTTAAAGATATGCACACTTTTCTTCGCATTCAATCCTTGCCAAGTACTTAGAGCCTTAGGCAAAGTTGATTATTTGCCAACTTCGATTAGATTTGGACAAAATATGTACATTGTAAACGAATTTTGAACCGATTTATATTATAAATCGATTTGTTTTATTCAAACGTAATCTATGAGAAAAGTTTTTTGTTAAGAAATTCGGTATGCTCTTTGGCTGATTCCTTGATTGCTTTTTAAATTAGTTCTATAAAAGAATGTGTGAAATATTAACAAATTTAGAAGTTTTGTGAATAAATTTTAATTACCTTTTGTGCAGGTGCAAGACATAAAAAATTTGATTTCAAAATAGTAAACAGCACACACCTCAAAATATCGAAAATGGGAAAATAATATGGCTTAACAACTCTCACTTACTTTGCACATTAATAAATAAATTTATTTGGGAAAATAACTTTTATTTATGCTTCACTTGAGCAAACTGCAGAAACACTTGCCAAGATCCAATTTCTCGCTGCGGCAAGGAAGTCACAAAGCAAACTTGTTTAATCAGTATTATTTCGCCTTAACTAAGAACATATTGCGCAACATTCTCAGATGGAAATCGAACCTGAAGCCACAGCGAGCAAATACAATAAATACGCCAAATAGTCTGCTTCCAGTAAGTCAGCAAAGTTGAGCTTCAATCGGAGCCATGAAGCAAATATAACTTTTTAGGTTAAGTTCACTAGCTATTGACTACTGTATGTGCATGTGTGTGGGAATAATGGGACATGCGTGTATCACAATTTATATGCTACTCTTGCCACAAGCGAAGAGTCACAGTACTGTCACATGCAAAGCCTTCGGGACAAGGACATCAAACCGTCAACGCGAAATGTTGGCTCCAATCGATGGTTATTTTTACGCGGCCTGTCAGCTGAGTAGCCATCTCCCGCAGTGCCTGCTGCTCTGCATTACGAATTCATTGCCCTTTAATGGGCATATGGTGTAGTAACTTATGCAAAACCAATGGGTGACAGCAGGTACAGCATTATTTTGGCCGTCGAAACTACAAAGTATGCCCGGCAAGTAGAAAAGTCCTTCAAGTAGAAAAGTCCTTCTATAATTAGCTCGTGTGTGCGGGTGTGTGTGTTTGTGTGTGGAATTACTCTCCAAGTTATGCGTATGTCAAGTGACAGTTGGTACTTGAGAACAGGTAACGTATTCTTGACAGCTCACATTTCTCAACATAATCATATTAGTTTTACAACTTTGAGATCCACTTACATATTTCTTTTCATTGTTTTTGCTGGTCAAATTATTTTCTTATTTTATATATAAATTTCAAAACATCGAATTTCCTCTTCAGCATCCGTCCAGTCAGCTGTGAAGTTTGAATCTTCGTTTTCTTTTATCTATACCTAAGCATAGTTTTATAATGTGTTAAATTTGACAGAAGATTTCTTTTTGTATTTCCTTGCTTTTATTCTCGAAATGTAAAATGTTGATTTTAACTTTCTGTCAGCTTAGATTAGCTTTTGTTTAAATTTAGGCGAAGCAGGTTGTTTTAATAAGCCCTAAAGCTATACGTGCCCTTAACCTCTTGACACAAATCCCTGCCTATATTTAGATGCGACGCTTCTAATGAGACCGCCTGCTGCATGAGTGCTTGCTGGAAAGTGCGTCTGTGGTCGCGTTTTAACCAAATCCAAATTTAAACCAGACTGGAAATTTGTTGGTATATATTTATATGTATAAGTGGCTTTTGTGTCGTTACAATACGGCCTTCCACCGCTGTCTAACTAGCCCACAATGTCCCCATATCTGTTTATAGCCATATAGAATGTATGTATACAAGGAGGCACCACAATTTGTGTAGACACAACAACTCGTTAATATTAGGCTCAGTGGACTTTTCCAAGAACCTTTGGAATCCTTTTGATTATTTGATTACAATGTGTGGAATGTGATTCAAATTTGTGAATACATTACAATTAGGCCGCCCCCTATTGCGAAAAGTTAACCACGCCCTTGTATGTGGTGTTAAAATAAAAATCAATAAGAGCCACGTTTTCCTTTCATTTGCTGATTTTTGCACACACTGCGAAATTGAAAATTTCATTTACACTTGACACTGGCACGAGCCCGGGGCCTATATACTCGACATACATACGTACCACTAACCCCCTCCACCACCAACCGGCCACCCACCAACCCCACAGCTCCCTTCCGCACAATCGCTTTGGCATTCGCACGTTTTACGGGCCTAGTTTTCCTATAAGCCGGCGAACATTGTTGGTTACAAAACGTTTGGCTACAGTTCTCATATCCGTCATGTCTCCGCATAGAGGAAAAACGGTCGAAAAACGTCAAGTTGAATAGGAAAATTA